TTCATAATAGAATATGTTCTGAAAATCTTATCTTGACAAAGTGGATACATTCTCTAAATGCATAACAAATAAGTAGAAAATCCAATTCACTATGAGCGAACTGTCTGTTGTAGTTTGATCGGCTTATCGAGAAAGTGTAATGCTTCTGGGCATGAAACATTAATTGAATTTTTACAGGGATCTATGTGGTGGAAATGATTTCAGAGAACGAACTTTATGGTTCTAAAATTTGCGCACTTACAGTGATGGTTAAAACCTAAAACCCAAAGTAATGGAATGCATATGTATCTTGGAAAGCATATCACTTAGCAACAATCCTTGCGAATAGAATTAATAACTTTGCGTGCGAGTAACTACACTGTATGACTCAGTTACTCAACTTTCAGTTTTCATTCAATCTCTTTTTTGTCATTCGTTACTAGATTTATTTCTTAGCAAGTTAAAGTGTCACCACCTAGTTGGCCAAAGTTTCTGAATTTAGTGCAAAAATTTAGACTTCATTCCTGAATAGTTGTGAGTATAAATAGCACGTAACACAAGAATTATTCACTGTTGCATTTCGAAAGGATTATTGTCTTTGAATATTGAGAAGTGCACACATCTATCGTAATAGTCCACACCATTTTCCTTGTTTGTGTAATTAGATCAGTTGGCACCTAACCTAAATCAAAGGCTATATACTCTTTGCTCATCACAAGCTATACCAGGAAAATTTTTCATTTTCTGTTTCACAAGGTTTAGATATTCATCAAAATAAAAATGAAATCTAGCAGTCAGTGACGAGAAGACTAACTAACAAATGAGAATTATTGTTTATAAAAAGGCAATATTTTGCTTCCTGCAGCAGTTGGGACGCTTTGCTTTCCTCTGTCATAGCTTTCACACTATAAAATAAAACACTAAAGTTCGGGTCACCTTTAAAGAAGTCTCATTTCATCCTAATTTTCCGAAAACTATAGTGACTACTTTGAATCTTTGAAGATTGTTCAACTACCGTTGAACACAAAAATGAAAACTGCTATAAGCTTATCTCTACCTTCAAACTGTGCTGTATTTCATACTTATACTTTTTCTAAGGCGAACTAACAAATTTCAAATTTATGAGTAACTATATTGTCTTCACTGTTAAATTAAACCACTTGAACTCATGCATAGATGACTTCATTAGGTGTATTAGGTCTGCTAAGGTGTCTTAACCTTGTTTGTAACAGTGTCTGCAGATTTCCTAATTTCTTCATTTGATCTTGTTTGGATAAGTTCACTGATTTTCTCTGAGTAACCCTTCTTACCTATAATTACAGCTGAGTTGTCTTCATGAGATTTAAATACTGGCACTTCCCAATACCAATATTCCCGCTTTTTAAAATTTCTCACTTCAGTTTGCTGTTATTTCGCCAGTACATACTACACACGGACCTGACCAATAGTTGTCTTATCTATCGAACTTATAACTTGTTACTATCCTAGGTAGGAGTCTTCAAGTTTTAATTGAGCTACTGTCATACTGAAGTCCCGTTATTTCAACAGTAATTTGATGCAAATATGAGCTAAATATTTTGCTCGGCATGTCATCGACTATGTAATACTCACTTACTATGTCCTATATCAAATAAATTAGTCCAATATGTGGTTACTATATCACCATGAATCAACTGTCGTAACTCCGTTGATGATTCTTACCATAAAAGTGAGTAAAGTTCTACTTCACCACCCGAAATCATGTTTGACAATCAGATTTTCTGTTTGATTCGCTAAAGATAGAAAGAATTGCAACTCCTGTAACAAATAAGACAAGAAAATTTCATTCTCCTTACTTAGTTAATTCATTATATCCAATTCGACAGCACTTTCAAAACGAATAGAACAAAGTGAAATCTTCAAACAGTAAACTTACGCATACATTTATGCACATAAGTAACACATGTCCACGTAAGACAATTTACGTTAAGCTCCTTAGATTTTTGTTGAAATAAATGCGTCCTAATAAGTGTATGTATAGGAATGCTAAATAAATCAATATGTCTTATAAACAGAAAAATAACTTGCAAGTTATATCACCAACACACTTTAGCATAAAGCTGATTTCATATAAGCTGACCGATGATTATCATAATCATTGCCATAATAATGACAACAGCCAAACACCAATGTGAAGCGATTCAGCCTCTTTCATTACGTTGACAATATATTGAACAAGTGTATGTTTAATGTATACATGGACATTTCTAAAATAAAAGGGGAGAGTAAAACAAGGATAGAGTGGAAAACTTCTACGTTCATGTGAATTTAAGAGATGACAAAAAAGTGGAAAGATTAAAACGATAATGAGAATGCAGGAATGAAAAGATGATGGATGAGATTTTGTCCTCAGAATATAATGAACAAATTTAAGTTAAAACCATGTTATAAAATTTGATGAGATAAAATAAGTCATCAGTATAAACTTGTAATGGGTACAATATACACTAAAATGCTCTTTTCAAGAGAACTTTAAAGAACAAGAGTGTAGCAACACCTAGTTAAGTGTACATGCAGTCAACTTAAAGTTATACATTAAGAAGTGAGCTAGGCAGGGAGATTAAGTGCACGTTGTTGAATACATTTATTTATCTCCAATATTTTGATTTTGTTTATTTCCCTGAAGAAGCTTGAAACAGAATTTTATGCGAAAGGTTAGAATTACTTTATTTTAAACACATTGTAACACGCGAATATAACTGATATCTAATGTCCACTTTTACTCAGTGCCCAACATATATTCAGTCAAGTCTTGAACAGAAGTCAATAGATTGAAGCCAATATTAAAATTCTTCATGTAGAAGAGAAAGTCTTGGGTTTAATCCCCAAACCAATCTCTATTTACAGCTTTTAAAAGATTTAAAATAAAAAGAAACAACTGAACAGTACTACTACTTTTTTAGTGAATATGCCATGATTTCCAGTTTGCTTCCGTCACGATGATCAGTAGTTTCTGAAGAAAGCCAAAAATCTTGCGCCGACGCAGTCTGATGGGAATGTAACAATGATATCAATGACGACTTATCATAAGCTATATTATGTCCGTTTCAGGAAAGTCAAAGGAATGCTAAGTAATGTTGGTCCAGTATATTTTCACGTGCATATATATATATATATATATGTTACAAACAGATGGACAAGGGTAAGTAATACAGCTAGGGATATGGTATACCTAACGAAACGTGCAGGAAGAGGAAAGGGCTCAAACACATATCTACGGTGAACAAATCACTTTGTCGCAACCCTGTATGTATATATTTATACATAATAGAAAGGTGGTAGAAACATCAAAATACCATTTATTTAAATGGTACACTAAAATTTCTAATTGATTCAATAACAATTAATTTTAGAATCTCAATAAACACACAATAAAACAATGTTTACAAGCATACTTAATGATGATAATAATACTACTAACAATCACAATTATTATTTTTAATGTGTTTATTAGTTATAATTAAATTTTATGCGATTCTTTTTTTCAAAATACAAATGTTATTGTTTAGATTAGAACGTTTTTCACTTATAACTGTTTAATGCTTATTGTGCATTTATCACTACAGATTAATCGCCTGCTCTTTTCTAATCTTCCGATACAAATATTTAAATTTCACCTATAAGTGTGAATTATCATTCATGACAGTAATAATAACACTGCACCTGATAATCTAAATCTTTGAATAGGTGATCGATCATTCTATCTTAAGTACCTAATGCGTTCTACTTCATACCTTCGTGTAATTTATAAGAATGAGAAATTTGATTTCAACTATAAACATTATGAAGTCACTGATTGTCTGTTTGATGTGCTCACCTCAATCTCAACTACTTAAGTTATTCATTCAAATCCAAATTACTTTCTTTAATTCGAGCAACTAGAAAATAGTGCTACAAAATAGACAAAAATGTTTTTCGTCTAATAACGTAGTAGCATTACGAAATATACTGTTGAATGACGTGAGTAGAAATAGACAGCTTATGTCAGTTAGTAGTGCTTGCTAGCCAGATTAATATGATCTAAACTTCAGGTGACTATTTTGTTCATTTGAGTCGAGTTCATCAACTGTGTATCCTGACTGATTTGGCATAAAAAGTCAAACTGTTCAAACCATTTGAATTTCAGCCGACTACTTGAGTGAATCAACCAAACCTAGATTCATAACTAAGCTAATACTCAAGTTGAATCAGATATCAAAATACATAATTATCAAAAGATCCTGCAACGAATGAAATTGATATGAATTTCTTTGTGAAATTTAAATACATTGTAGTCTATTTGGTGACTATCAGTGGAATCCAACGTGATGCACTTTTCGTTCTAGTTGGAACTCATCAGCTGGGTATACCTGCACCCCAGTGAGTGATATTGTCCCAACTGGGACTCAAACCCAGTACCCATCACCTCAGACGCCAACATGTCATTCACTAGGTCACTGAGGCACTAGACCCACCACTTGTGCAATGGGTATCAGCTGTTGTTTATCGGTACTTCCCGTTGCTACACGGGGTCGAATTGTTTGACCTCTGTCGGCAGATAGGCAGATGAATCGACACCGGATACTCACTATATTGTTGTATATTTCAGTCATTTATTAATGCCAAAATGACACGATCAAGTCTTCGTGGACGACCAATGAACTCCATCTAGTAAAGTTTGGGACCAAATACAATTCTCTGTAATTTAATCTACTGTATTTCTTGATTGCTCATTGTTTAAAACAATACGAATAAATGAGAGTAGTAGTTATTAGTTTGATACTTCTTCTAAATCAGTGATCGCACTAACCTTACCATGAATGTTTGGAAGAATTACCAGTTGGTCTCCTAAATCAGGTAAAATCATATATTACACCGACTTAAGTGGACTGTACCCAACGATTAAAATTTTTCTTCTAATGGCGTTTTGTTTATGACTCCATGACGGATAAAGACGAAAGGTTATGACTTAGTATTTGTTTTTCTTTCTTCTTAAATGTTAGAAAGTTCACTTCACTTGGACAAGGATGGAAAGAAGAAGCATACGCGACCGACATTTTCAGGACAACAAATTTTCGCACTAGAGAAAACATTTGAACAGACAAAATATTTGGCCGGTCCTGAAAGAGCTCGTTTAGCTTATTTTCTAGGAATGTCGGAAAGTCAAGTGAAGGTGAGTTAGTATGATATATTACCGCCTAATTTATAAAAGAAGTGTAAATATGAATTGTGGTGGCTAAACAAACTCAAATCACTCATACGGAAACAAATTTCAGTGACCTTATTCCCTACTCATCGTTTATATAAAACAATCTATTCTAACTCATGAAGTGAAATAGAACTGCGCTTATAACCGTAACATACTTTATCAAGTTCTCTCTTTTGAATGGTACTGATAACTTCTTGTCATCAAAACCTGCTAAGATATCTAATTTCCTTTTATTTATACTTGTAAAGCTCTCTTTTTTGTCGTTCCTACTGTTTTTATTTTATAAAGTGGCTCAGATCACGGTACAAAACGCTGGGTTTCATCGATTTCGAACAGCAAAGATGACAATTTCGTCAGTTATTTGGTGTGCAGTAGCCTCTTCAACCATTACGTCATTGTTTTGATTTTTGTAACATATCGGATTGATGACGATGAAAACTAACCGCTTATAAGGGTCCTAATTTATTAAAATTTAAAGGTTACTTGTCCGCACTTCAGGTATTGTATTTCTGCCCAAATTAGTTGGCCACTAGAGAATAATGCATAGCGAATAATGTGTTGCGACATTTCAACATACTCGTATAACTCTAACCAAGTATAAAGTGGGTTGGTGTTTAGGTATAAACTTTCAGTATTCTAGTCACTATGAATAAGCCGATAAAAGTTAATATCTGTCAGTATGAGAGAAATACTAAATTGTTCTCCTGGTTGTAATGTAATACATGCAATGCGAAATCAAATGCTCTAAATTGATTACTCGTGAAATAACTACGTCTTGTTAGTTACAGATACTTTATCCTAGCTAAGTAAATGCTTGTGAATCTTTAATTTTAAACCAGTATCAGCTGTCTAGTACGCTGAAATCGATGTTCATCTGCATATATGGCCATCAATTTTTCTCAAAAAAGTTTGTTTCTTCAGGAAAAGCACAAGAATTCTGAAGATACTGACTGCACTTAAGATGTGATAACGATTTACATAGTAACATATTCGAGTCTTTTTGTTTCCTACTGAAATTCTTTGACGGAACATTATTTGTGCCCTAAAATACTCACTGTATTGTATTCACTTATTTGAAATTACTTTTAAACATATGCATATATATATGACTTTTATGACTGACGTAACTGAAGTAGTATTTTGATACTAGGTGGCTGAAAACGATCGATAGGAATCCTTGGACCTAAGTTTCGTGCTTCTTGGCACTGGTAAGCAACACAAATTTCCAACCCCAAGGGAACTTATGATCCCTGAGAGACTAGTAATCAGCCAGCGCTAGTGTCCAACTCCTGTAAAACTGGATTAGATATACTCATTGGTCACTGGAGAGTGACTAACTTCATGTTGTCTGGTTCTGAATGCGTATGAAATTCTACAGACCGCTTTATTTTGTAGTCACCAGGCTAACAGCCTCAGCACCATGAGACATTTTAATTGATTTCAGATGGTTTGAGGTAATCAGGAGGAAGCCACGAACTATATATATATGCACACCGGTTACAGGTTTATTGGACAGAGAATAAAAGCTAACTAATGGTCTATTCTTAAGAAATCCAACATCTGGTCAGATTAGTTATCATATGGCATAAGTGTAGTGTAATTGAAAACGAATCAGCTCCCTTTGCATTCAGCAAGCATTCCGTCCTTCAGGTAACCACAACAAGTTGCTTAGTCGCAAGTTAATATCCACTATGATTACTGACAATGAAGTTAAGTGAATTCTTTGTTTTGTTGCAAGGTAGGATTTTTAAATGTAATAAGTAGTACTTATCAACACAAAAAGATAGTGAAAAAATTGACAGTTTTGTAACAATCTCTTGACTTTCATTGTTTCAGACAACGGTACCTGAAAATCAAATGGAAATTTTGCATGTTAAAATTAAGTGGTACATCAAACGTCTCAATGCAAAACAATGTAAAGTCAGGAAAGTATTCATTCTTGATTTATCAAAAGCTTCTCAGAGTGTGGAGGAATAATTTAGTTTTTTGAAACCGTAATTGCCAATACTAAGAACATATATGACTTTTGACAGGGAAAACACTCAAATGACTGAAATTTTCTCAAGATTTCTGAAGCATAGTTCAAGCTGTGTTCAGAGATACTACTGACTTCCTGATATTACGCTGGACAGAAATGACCGACTTCCTTTTGCAGATGGGCTCCTGTGCAACTGTCTCAATATTGCCTGGAGATTCAACATGGTATAATTAACTTAATGGCAGCTAGTAGCGGATTACACGACATGCCTGTGACATGTTTGGGACCGGTCAAATGAACATACCTCCATCTCAGTGAGTGATGGTGGCCTCCTATAGCCTGATGGATAACGCTATATCATTTGGAAAGATGGGTGGTGGTTTTTGAGTCTCGGTGGGAACAAAATCATTCGCCGCAATACAGGAACATTCAAAAACTCTTGGATACGATAAGACCTGTATCACAGACCTCATCACTAGCCTTCATCGAGCAATTCATAGTAGCATAAAAAGAATTCGCTAATAAATATGCAATTTTCGTATATTTTCTTCCAGTTGAAAAACTAACAGAAACCTCAAAATATTCACATACTCTAGTACTAAGTGTTCACTTTAAAAAAATGCAAATACGTGTTGTTAAATTCAATTATTCAAAGAAAACAACAACACCAACAACTAAGATATCACTAATTACTAATGTATATATATATATATATATATATATATATATATAGAGAGAGAGAGAACATTCGAATGACATTCTGTGTATCATCTGTCAAAATTTCTAACTGGGCCAAGAGAATAAATATACACTTCATGGTTTGATGACTTTAGTATATAAATAATAATTGACAAACGAACGCATATGACGTTTATATATCAATAGAATGGAAAACTATTAACGCTAAATGAAGAAAATGTCTATCTATTAGTGGTTTTTAATTTTAATTTTCTTCCATTGTCTAGACGTGAGTGATACAAGTTATAGAATCCTAGTCAAGTTGGTTAACTAAAGACTTAGTTAGACCACCTCGTAACTATGACAAGCTGTACTGTCGAAAAAATAGCAAACTTAATTACGTATATTACTAGTAATAGTACATCACTTACGAGTAACCTATATCAGGGGGCATAAAGATTTCATTTTGACGTTTGTTTCAGTGTGAGGTATTTAGATATGTCAAAACAGTAAGAGAAGCTATTAAACAAAAAATAATTGAGGAGTATCATGCCAGATATAGAACATTACCTTATCTATGGATTTCTTAAATGCATTCAGCATACAGTTTGTCATTAATATTCATAATTCATGCATAGAAAAAGTGGCCAATGGCTAAAATCTAGTGAATAACAATGAAACCAATTTGTTTATAATTAGATTATTGCATGAATATATGTACGTTTCAGTTGTAAGTAATGTTACCAATGCTTGATTAGTGATTCTTATGTACGATTAGTAAAAAAATATCTTGAAACCTTGAAAATGTGCAGATTATGCTGAAAAATTCAGTCATAATTCCACTGGAAGTTAGCATTAATCAGAATTTTAAAATCGGTGTCTGATCTGACACGTCACCTACACGAGATGTAATACGTGACGATAGAATTCAATAGTCGGCATCCCCAGAGACTGTCAAAAAGCAGTGTACATCAATCATATAGGGGAGGAGAGTGGTAGAGTAAAACTTCCAAAAATATATTTGAAAGCTTGACAAGCAAAGTAAGTTGGATATAGGAAGTTACTGAAGGTGTCATAGCAATCGCTTATTTGGTTCAGCCAAGTTATTCAAGCATTTCGCATATGAAAAATATACGACTTTTATTTTAAAGGAAAATATATCCATCTGCAAACATCAATAATCTTTTGTATCGAAAACTTTTAAGGTGTCACTTCTGAATCTATGCAACCATGACTTAAGGTTCAGAGTAATTTAATATTTCCAGTTGATTCAATAGATAATTCAGTTTTGAAAATCTTCATATCATCTTGACAAAGGTTTGAAAAAATAACTAGTGAATATGAACGAAAAATAGTTAAAATATCCCTGCTAAAAATCACGTTTCACGTTCTGACAATATAAGGGTAAAACTGAGGTAAGTTACTTTTCTGTTATACATTTCAACCACCTTCATCACTGATAAAGATTCACCTAGCTAATGACTACCGAAAAGCATGGAACACTGATTAGAGTATTTTGCACAATGACTCCTAAAATTGAACATCAATAAACATCGATATACATATCACACTGTATTTGCTGCAGGGATAAATTATAACACTGTGGTAAGAACATAGTGATGAATATTATAGGATCGGATATGTCACAAAATTTTTTGTCTCGGCAGAAAGCATAACAGTAAATCTTTGAAAGTGTCAGATGGATTCTGAGATTCTAAACAGAATACTTTGTATTCAAAGGACCAGTCACCTCATCATAAAATCTAACTGTGGTTACAGTTGTCCACCTCAATTTAAATGTAACTTTTGGTTTTATTCCTAAATCAATCAACTTTGTCAAATTTCTTGATTGGCTAACTTGGCGTTCATATATATGTCCCAAATCAAATATATCACAGAACTACACCTCACTAATAGTTCAGATGTATGTTACAATTAATAAAATGAGACTTTTGGTTGGTATTATTTACAAACTCCTACTACCGATCGTCGATTTCAAATAGGAAAGACATCTAGACAGTAGTTTTGATCGCAAACACAAGTAATCACTCATGGAGTTCCAATCGTATTAAAGTTTAAACATTCTTTTATACTGGATTTGTTAATCTGATATATAGCTCGCAGTGATACGGTATTACTGAGCTTTCTTATCAACTAGATACTGATGTCAATATAACCATCGAACCACAATCGTTGCATTACTTTGTGCAAATAGTGGCTGATTTGTAAGTTCATTCTATTTCCATGAATATAAAGGACGTCAAAGCGAAAGAGTTCTGCCGGTTATAAACCACGTCATGATATTAAT